CGGGTTCCGGAGCGGCTCGGGGGCCGCGGGCGGGGGCGGGGCCCGGGCGGGGGCGGGGCTCCGGGCGGGGGTGCCTGCGCTCCGGAAAGCCGAGCCCAGCGCCGGAGGCGACCGCGGGCCACCGGGCGGCCGCACTGAGCATGCCCGGTGGGGGCGCGGCCGGCGCTCGGGGGGAAGCGGGGGCGCCAGACCCCCGGTCTTGCCAGGCCCTCGGGGGGGTAGTGGGCGTCCCCGTCCAGCGTCCGGGGACCGGCAGCCGGGGGAGGCGAGGGGCTGGGGTTGGGCCGCGATCCCCGGGCGTTTACGGGTGCGAGGACGCCCTGGACGGGGAGGCGCCGCCGACCCCGCGGAGCCGCTGGCGCGCGGGCACCCCGAGGGGCAAGCGTCTGCTGCCTTCAGCAGGTGCGCAGGGAGCGCGCTGCGGGGTTGGGAACGGAGGCGAATCTAGGTCGCAAGCGACAAAGACAGTGAGCTCCACAGAAACGCTTTCACAGAGGCAGTATTTCCGCCAAGGCGAGGGTGGGAGGCCGGAGAAGCGCCCCCACCCCGCGAGCGCGCCCGGGGAGGCGTGGAGAGACGGCCACCGCGCCTGCAGCCGGTTTGGACCACGAAAGCCCGGTCCTCCGTGTCAACACGGCGAAAGGGCCGAAGACCTGGTCAGTGGTCAGATGTCAGCTCTGCTCGAAGGCAGCCGCGCCCCTGGAGCCCGCGGGGAGCGACAGGACAAAGGATTTCTGCTTTGAAGACGAATAGGCTAGTCGACCTGCAGATCCCTGGGACTGTACGTCGGCAGAACTTGTTTGAAAGAAGCTGGTGAATTCAGATGGGTTAATTTTGACTTCTCAAAAAGGCTAGAAGTTGTATTTCAAATCCTTTTTATAGGCATTGCCTAACACTTAGCATTGAAACTTTTTTATTTTTCCACTGTTACCAAAATTACTATAATTACAATAAAAACTAGGTTGACACTAAATCTGTGCCTTTTATCCTCCCATATACTTATTTTTGGTGTTTTCATATTAAAGAAAGAAAACATTGCGACCAATCAAGCGGAAAAACAGCCACAAATAGGTGTTATAAGACGTGTGGAAATTACTTTTAAGAAAATATCCAGGAAACATTGTTTACTTCTTAAAGAAAAAGGAGAATTGTTTTTAATATGAAGAGAAAATAATACAGTACTCTGAAAACAGGGAGAAAATAAAAGATGGGGGAATAAAGAAGAAAAAAATAAGAAAACTTTCCTTTTTAGTGAACTCTCTGCCAAAAGCTTATGGGAACTACTAAAGTAGAAATCCCAGAGATATGTTAGTTACATAATCAGTTTTCACAAATTTCATTAACAAATGTATATATATAATGCTTTTTATGTACTAAGGCACAGTTCAAAATGTTTTACAGCCTGTCATGTAACGCTTACAACAATCCTAAGAGTTGCTACCACCCTTTTGGGGCACAGGACAACTGAGTAACTTGTCCAGAAACACACAAGGGACTAAGTGGCAAGGCTGGGATTCAAACCCAAGCCTTAGCTGGTTCCAAAATCTGCTCTCTTAGCCACTTTATAAACCACCTCTAAAGACATTCCTGAATCCATTTTTTTTTAATTACTCCCCCCACCCCCCACTCCCCTGGCCTATGAATTTGAAGCTCTCAAAGTCTAAGCTCCCCAACAGTTCACTCACCAAGTGGTCTGGTTTTTATGGCCTGAAACTTTGCTCAAAGTTAATGAGTAGTTATAAATTCTTGTGGTTGATTTTGCAACAGTTTCTGTGAGTCACTTGAAATGGTTCACAGATTTCAGTTTACATTTTTCTTGTTTGATAAATGTTGCAGAGACTTTGCTAGCCTTGTATGTAAAGGTGACTGTGGGAAGGGAAGTGAATTATTTACTTTGCTGTGAGACTTGTTGGTAAATCTCCATTCTTTCATTTAATCCACTTTAGTTCCTGAAGCTTCTCTCATGCATTATTCTTTTCGACTAGTATGCTTCAAAAATAATCAAGGTAATAGGCCTATTTAAGAACCACCCCCTTGACCCTGAAAAATTACCATCTATACCATGAATAGTTCGTGAAAAATGTGCTAACAGTATGTGGCCAGGTTCTTGGGTCTGCAAAGCTTTCCAAGTTGGGGGTCCTAGACCAGGTCTTTCCTCCTTCATGGGCCTTCTGAGCGATCATGACCTTGGCCACGGGACGCTCTTCTTCTGCCCATCCCTTAAGTTTGGTGCTTCTCACCCTTCCGTCCTTAGGCCTCTTCTCATCCGTCCCTATCAAACTCAGTCCTACAGCTTCGCCATCTATTATAAGCAGGGCTGATATCAGGGCAAACAGGTAACTCACACAGGATCCTGTGCTCAGAGAGCTCAGTGCTTGGAGTCCTGATGCTCTGTGATCGCCAGCTTGAAATTCTTAACAATGTCATCTTCCAGTTTTTGTTTTATAAGTTGGTGGAGTGAGACAATGGAGCCGCCTCTGCACATGTAGTCTGCTTCCTGCCACCTCTCTGCCTCCCTGGGACATGTTCCCCGCTGCTAGCTGCTCCCATCCCCTGGTACTTCAGCCCTGCCCACCCTGGACCAGGACCACCAGGACAGGGGGAACCTGCGCACAGGGGAAGCAGGGTCATGTGCCCTGGTGTCAGGGTGGGGCACGGCAGCCACTGTTCCTGCCCTGGAGTGGCAGGGCCACCACACATCCAGTGGGCAACTCCCTGGGGACAAGCCTGCTGCCCACTGCCCGTGTGAATGCATCCTGGCGTGGACGTTGCAGTCTCTTGAAGGTTGTCCCTCCAATGTGGTTTGGAGCAGAGAGTCCATGGAAGGGGAGACGCCTGGTTTACATTTCCCACCGTCAGCCAGAGCTTCGCCTGCAGCCCTACAGATGGGTGGAAGGGCCCCCAGTGGCTCGCTTCACGTGCCCTTTGAACAGAGACCCTGTGTTTCTGCCTTGCACTGGGCCTTGCACATGGTAGCACTGGCCCTGATCCCTGATCCAGCCCAGATCTCCCTTCTGCGTTGCAAATGATGTATCTGCATGTGTGCTGGAAATCTCCACTTGGATATTTCTTAGACATTTCAAATTCAGCAGGTCCAAGCTTAATTTATCATCTTTGCCCCAAACCTGTTTCCCCAAACCCAGGGATGGCACAAAGTAGTTACACAAGCCAATAATCTGAGAATCATCTTGAATCCGTCCTTCTTTCTCACCCCCCATATCCAACCAGTGGCTGAACCCTGTTGCAGCCACCTCCTGGATGCTGCAGACACGTCCTGCATTTGTTATCTGGTGCAGCACGCCGCTTCAGCAGAGACCTGAGGTAAGTAAGAGATTGAGACAGCGACTGTCTGGGGGAGCCGCATGTCAGCGGGGAGGGAAAGGCAGTCAGAAGTCCCAAAGGAAAACGGCGGCGAGGTCATGGCGACCGGGGCATCTGGGGCATACCTGGGGTCTGGTCTGGGTTCTCCAGCTCCTACTCACGGCGGCTCCCGCTGCGGTCACCTGAGAGCTTGACTGGGCCCTGAGACCTGCCTCTCGGGTAGCTCACCGCCAGGGAGCTCCTGTTTTCCCTTCCTACGTGGGCCAGCCTGGGGGCTGCTCGGGCATCCTCGCTACCTGACATCATCTTCCCCGGCCATGACCAAGCCAAGAGACTGGGCAAGGTGGAAGCCAGAACATCCTCCGTGTCCTGACTTTGTAAGTCACACATTGTTGTCACTGCCACTGGATACACAGATCAACGAGCCCTACTCACAGGGGGAGAGGTTGATGCACAAGCCAAGACCACCGGAGACAGCAAGTGCAGGGCCAACCTGGCTGGCTGTCACACACCTGCCCTGTCCCTGTGTGATGCACAACTGCCCTGCTCTGTGTGATGCTCACCTGCCCTGTAGGATGCACACCTGCCCTGTCCCTGTGTGATGCACACCTGCCCTGTCTCTATAGGATGCACACCTGCCCTGTCCCTGTAGGATGTCACCTGCCCTGCCCTGTAGGATGCACACCTGCCCTGTCCCTATGAGATACACACCTACCCTACCTTGTAGGATGCACACCTGCCCTGTCCCTGGGTGATGCTCACCTGCGCTGTCCCTGTAGGATGCACACCTGCCCTGTCCCTGCAGGATGTCACCTGTCCTGTCCCTGTAGGATGCACACTGCCATCACCCTTCATTCTTGGTTACTAAGAACTGTATGCACCACCTTCCTGGGTGTTGGGGATTCAGTAGTAAAAGCCAGAAACAAAGACAGACAACATCCCTGCACTCAGGACTTGCTATTCAGGTGGACAGAGACGAATAAGTGCATGTCAGGAAATGACGGGTATTAGTGAGAAAAATGAAGTAGGCAAGAGCGATAGAGACATTAGAGGGACAGAGGTGGGCCAGGGTTTTGTAAGGAGTGGTTAGGGAAAGCCACTCGATAAGGTGACATTTCACCAGAGACCTGGAAAGTGAGGGAACAAAACATGTAAGTCCCTGAAGAACAGAATGTAAGGAGCAGGAAATCTAAGTGCTAGAGGTTTGAAAACAGCCCCCATTCTCCCAGTCACTCAGGTCCCACCCCTGCAGTGATCCTAGACCCCCGCCCCTTTTTTTTCTCATACCCATATTCAGTACAGAAGAAACTCATCAGATCTACCTCAGAAAAGGCTTATATATAAACATAAACTTCCAAGCAGATAAGATTGCTCAGAAAGTTAATCTACATAATGAGATAAGGTCCAGGGACTGAGCTCCCAGGCCCCGCGCTCCCCACACTTGCTCAGGAAACGGAGGAAGAGGCAGCAGAAGCCGGGGGTGGGGTGGGGGGCGGGGGGAAGGGGTGTCCAGAGAGGAATGAGGAGCTAGAAAAGGGTGAGGTGGGTGAGGTGGAGTTAAAAGTT